AGCTGTTAAGCAGAACACAGAGGCTGTAACAAAAGGCATAACTCCATCATGTGGTCTTAAAATAACCTACATTAAAATATATCCAGTGAGTTCACCACTCACAATTATTTACCGTCTAGAAATTTGAATTCTCTGTTTATCAATGAGCCAAGAGAACTGCAATGAAGAATTTTCCTTCATTCATACTAACGTAACAGGCTGCCCAGGGCAGTGGTGCAGTTCCCATCCCTGGAGGGACTGAAAAGCCATGTAGGTGTGGTGCTGAGGGACACGGTTTAGTGGTGCCCTGGCAGTGCTGGGTTGGACTTGATCATCTTAAAGGTCTCTTCCAACCATGATGATTCTGTGGTTCCATGAAATACTCTCCTTAAGTAAGGGCTTCGTGTTAAGGGAGGGTAACAGCTGAACTTGATGTCTATGAGTTTATTAGAGAAAAAGCCCTTGAAAAGAAAAGCACTTCACATAAACCAGGATGAGAAACTCATACATGATGGTCTTGTTCCTGCAAATGTTTGGAAAGGGCACACCTACTGGTAAGTAATGGTGTTTAAGTCAGTGACAGAATTATACTGTGGAAGTACTCCTCAGTTGTAAATCTCCTGGTATTTCTTGGTAAATCTCTTGGTATTTCTCTTAAACAAGGAATTTCTGCACACTGCCTGATATGCTTTTAAGTAAATTCTAATGGAGTAAAATGAAAAAAATAATTTTGCTGCTAGTACATTTTTCACTTTTTTTTTTTTCATATGAGACACTTACCATACTTCAAGAGACATTTCCAAAGTCATTTCTGTGACCTAAACGAGAAAGATGAAAATATGGTTACACAATTTACAGAGGGGAAAAAAACCACAAACATATAAACTATTACTGTCAGATTTTTTTCTTTAAATCACTTTTTTCAAAAAAGGAAATTTCTGAAATACACAAATGAATTTCTTTTCTATGAAAGTTTCTTTTTAAAATACACAATGTGATTGCAAGATACACCACTAGCACTGAACAGAGTAGAAACTGCTGCCAGGTGCTGCTAGATCCTGACTTTCATTCATCAGATCCCCCCATTGTAACTTTCTTCCATTGACAATGGCTTTTTGACAAGGTATTAATCTTTGGCCTGAAGGGATCTAATTGTCTTCACATACTTAGGTCCTTTGCTTGCACTGCCAGCCACAGTCTCTCTGCCACTTGCTTCCCAGTCCACTGGGTAAACTTCAAACTCAACTTGTATCTGAAGCAAAGACCTGGACAGGGATGACTGCTCTGTCAATTCACAGTTATATCTACTCAAATTAACAATCAGGAAGCGTGAGTGCTTACAAGTTTCTGAAAGATGCGACTAAATAAATCATTATATGATTTTAATTCCAGACCACATAGAACCACCTGACCCATAAGCTATGGGTTAGTGCCTTCTGCCTTTCACCCAGCGCTTAAAGGGGTTGACTGCAGGCAAAAGGCTAAAAAATGATTGTTAAAGCACCAATGGCATGCTAAGCAAAATCCAAGGGTACAAGGTTGCTACAAGAAAGACAGAACGGACATGTATTTTCATCTCCCTGAGCTCTCTCATGTACAATAGCCACCAATACGTTGTTATGGCCCTGTAGGAGTGTAACAGTCTCACCCCCAGTGTCCTGTTTCACTCTGCCCCTAGCTATAAACAGATGATCCTCATTGTTTGTGGTATGTGATCACCAGAAACAGAGCTAGAACACCTCAGACTGAACGCCTCCCTGACACACTTAGACAGAGCAGTTAAGGAGATGGAAGTGCAAAGCTGCCTCTGGCCCCCACGTCTCACGTACCTGCTGATGACAGGCCAGGTAAAAGCTGGCACTGCACTCCTGCCCTCCAAAATGGGAATTGCAAATGAGGGTGTGTATTAGCAGGGTGGTGGGAGAAAGAAAATAACGCAGAAGGAATGTGAAGAAACAGAGAGAAGAGTCATTTACGGAAATACTTCAAAGACAGGGTAGTAATTACATTATTCCAGTACCTGATATTACTAATTTAAAAAGCACTTCAGAAACCACGCAGTGATCCGACAGTTGAAACAAGATGTGCACACAGTATAAAATAAACCTGCAGAGTGAAACCTTCCTCTAGGGAACTCATATGCCATTTCCTATACCTTACACAGACTGCCACAGAAACCTCAGGAACACACGTTGTGTATCCAGACAGTCTACACTGGCCTCAATCTGACTTGACATTGCCTTCCTATTTGTTTATAAATTTCAGAGTGTATCTGGCTTTTTTCACTGTTTTTTTTTCCACTGTGTTCTCCACCAAGCTTTGCTGACTGCTGATGAGAAGTTAAAGCATATATGCAATGCAGCAAAGCCTTTTATTATTGACATGAGCTTGGCAAAATGTGTTTCCAAAATTTATTCATCAGCAGTTTCTTGCTACCTCACCTCATGCCTAGCAGAACCAGGGATCTGCAGCCAACCCACACTCTGCAAATCCAAGAGTCACTGAAGCACTCAGTGAAATAAATATGCAGAAACTTCAAAAAATGCAGCAACTTCAAAACAAAACAAAAAGGCGTTAAAAATCCAATTGCCTTCAGGTTACATCTAATTAAAGACCAAATCTTACATATGAAACTCTGATTTCCAATAAATAGGCCTTAACCTGTTATTTCCTGTAACCACACTTGTAAAGTTCTATCACATGGAAACCAGCAGAGCAGTCATAAATCAAGACCACTGATCATATAATAAACCCCAGCCCAAACCAAAAATTCAGACAGCATTTATACATACAGCATATGCCTACAATATAGAGAGATATAAGGACAAGCAGACATGATGGATATAACTACAAGTGCTGAATTATGTTCTGAATGGCCTGTGACATGCTGCTCCAATAAATTATGGTATTTTAAGACATGCAGAAGAATCCTGATTGCACACAGATTGAACAACAATTTCCAGGAGGTACTGTGCAGGCAGACAATCCCTGTCAGAGTGACTCCATCTGTTTGGTATATGTGGTTAAAGAGAATAATCCAATTAATGCATTACTGCATGTTAACTGGGCTGTGTTACAACAAGCCATTTATTGAAAGTGAAACATATAATAATAAAAGAATTTCTGTCAGCTTTCCGGAAGCCACAGGCACCAGGAGTAGAGGTGATACACTGACCAGCAAACTCTGCATAACCTCTCATGCTAACTCATTCAATCAAGTGGTGCAGAAACTGGTTTAGCAAGGGAAAGTTTGAAACAAGACTTTTAAAGATGATTCTCTCAACAGGGACACTAAGGCATTTAGTGGCATGTGGCATTGTTTTTTCTTAATTCCCCTCTCAGCCAGACCATAGGAAGACAAATGCAGTGCCTTTAGGACTCTGTGTTTAACCACAGGCAACAGTGAATGCTTTGAATACCAGCTTCAGAAGAGGGTATGCAGAGAACAATCCTCACCTCTGATACCCCCTTCCATTCCCCCACATATCCAGTTACTGGATAGGCTGGAAGGCTGCCACCCTTACACCCCCCATGACACACTATGATCCCATCTTAAATTCACAGTTTAGCTCTATTATCAATAAAGCATGCCCATATATAGTACTGAGGTAGACTGATGGGATCAGCAAGAATCACAGAATAGAATCATACAGTCATAGAATCACTATGGTTGGAAAGGACCTATAGATCATCAAGTCCAACCACCATCCCAACACTTCTCTAACCACTAGACCATAGCCTCGAGTGCTACATCTAGTTTTTTTAATCTCTCCAGGGATGATGACTCCACCACCTCCCTGGGCAGCCCATTCCAGAGCTTAACCACTCTCTCAGTGAAGAAATTCTTCCTAATACCCAACCGAAACCTCTCCTGGAAGTCTTGCATTTCCCTTCACGAGGAAGAAGAGCAGGCCAAAAGTTTTCTTATGCTTCAACAAAATGACTGAGGGAATACTCAAGTAACATCAGACTCAGTGAGAGTCCTTGGGACACATCACTTAGCCTTTACAAGCACCACTGTCTATTAATCTGTGATGAAGCTTTATCCTACCAGAATGTGGTGCAGATAAAATTCAGACACCTGATACAGGACAGAAACATAGTACATCCTGGTCTACACAACAGTTTAAGTCACTCAGTTCAGGTGCTCTTCCAGGAACTGTCCATCATAGAATCATTAAGGTTGGAAAAGACCTCTAAGATCATCAAGTCCAACCATCAACCCAGCACTACCACAACCACTAAACCATGTTCAAAGCTGCACCAAGAAAGGCAAAGCTATGAATGCTGCAACTTACATCATTGAAAGTTAGCTGGACCTCCTTCTTCTCTCCCAGTTTCAGAGAAGATATAGGAAATGTGGATGTGCCAAGAGTCTCATCCATAACATAGTTGGCATCCATCAAAGTAACCTAGAAAAGATACACAGGTATTCAATTCCACTTCAATAAATCCCTTTTCAAATCCATGTGGCCTATGCCTTAAGGAAAAAAAAAATTAAAAAAGTATAGAAAAGGAATAGGTTCAATCCATCCCAGTCAAAATCCAGTGCCAACAGACATGTTCTTTTACAACAGAATAAGCTCACAGATAGTGTAGATGGCACCTTCAAGGTATTCAATTACATGAGCACAACAGTATCATTTGCAGAGAGTTTTTTATCTGAGCACCTTCTGGTCAGTAAATCTCACCATCTTTCTAAGCAGATATAATAACTTCAAATTATACATATAAAAGACACAATTACCACAAATTACCAGTAAGTAAAACTTCTCCATGGAGAAATGTGCATAGTTTTAACTGCGATACACCAAAAACCAATGGGCAGTTTTCAGTGAAGATAGAACCCATACATCCTAGCCTTCTATCTACAGACCAAGATTTTTATAGCAAGGATTTGGCAAAATGTGCAGCATTCCAAATTACACAAAGCTTTTCTCTGTATCCAGCCAGATGTTCAAGTCTCTTCTCATCTTCTCCATGTCAGAGCATATACCTTTGCAAACTGTGATGCCATCCAAAGGTGTATGTTGAATACCATTCAATGCTTTCACTCTAATCCCTGTGAGTCTAGGTCTAGCAGGCTTTCTTCTCAGTGGCAGCCTTCCAAGTTCTCAAGTTCAGAAAGAATTTCAAATTACCACTTACATGGTTTCTATCAAATGAGTTCTCCAAACTCATTTGGCTTACGATTTCTTTTCCACTTTGTAGAATCGTGTCTTCTAAAATATCCAGTGTTTGTGGTTTGGAGAGTATCTTTTGCATAAAACAGATGGAATCAAGATACAATCCCTTGAATAACTAGCTGCTACATCTCAGTGATAAAGAATCTTCTTCATCCTGTGCCACAAGCAGCCCTTTGAAATGATGAACTCTATTTTAGGACAAAACTCATTACTATAATGGCATCTACATTCCTCTGTTTCCTTGCAGAACTTTGTGCTCATTGCTGTAATCTCTGATAGCTGTCTTCTAAAACTAATAGCAGTAGTAAAACCTTCATAATGGGATTTTGGAAAGCTTCTTACAGTTCAGAGTGAAAACTACACTTGGGATAAAGTTCAAGACTTAGATTAAAATAAAGTAAGGAGTCAAGAGGATCGAGGAGTCTGTGTGCACTTGGGAATTCACAAAGAGGTCTTGGCTGGGGAAATGGTGTCACAGATTTGAATTCAGACCCTGCACTCCATGCAGAATGCAAAGGTTCTGCTGGGCATGCGTGTGTGTATGGCAACAGCAGGAAATAAACAGCAGGTTTAACCTAAAGACTGTACCTTCCATGGGTAAGAGAATGTTTCCCATAAACCACGCATATATGTGCATGCAAATATACTAACCACGTCCAAAATTAACCATTATTACATGGTTTCCAGGCAATTTTCATGCAGTTTTGCAGCGCATGCCTCAGAAACTAAAAACATCCTTTAGTTATTGTTAATACATTTCCAATTTCTACTGATAATTAGTTTTGTATTTTGCTACAGGAGATGGAGACTTGCAGAACCTGGCAGCAGTTATGGCTATACTGTGCTGGAGCTCAAGAGTATGCCAGCTCATAAAATCCTGTACTCTATAGCCACTGCATAAAACCATAATAAAAACTGAGAAACACCTTAGCCAAATTACAAGAGGTTCTACTAACTGGGGGCTCTCAGCCTGGTTGGAAACAAGCTAGTTGCATTGATACCACAGAGAGAAGGGAATAACCCAGGCCTCCACATGCTTGAAAATATCTGAAGTTATGAAACAGTGAGAAATCAATGGCTTGCCAGCATCAAAACTTCTTCAACATCAGAATGCATAAAGATACAGAGCAGAAGAGGTGGTGCTATTCCCAAGAAGGCGACAGATAAGCCATTGGCTTCTGCTGTTTGTGACTTGAATAATTTATCCTTTAAAAATCCTTGAATCAAATTTTGTACTCAAGAAATTCATATATTGCTAAGGAAGATGCCTAAGTGTAACTACAAAGAGACACTGACCCAGTCTTTATACAACACCAGTAAAACCAAGGGGCTATAATTTAGCTATTATTGCCTCAGTTCAGCGTTCTGCTCATCTTTCAAAGATCACAAGAGCAACTACAGATTACATCAGTTTTTTAGCCAGCTGTAGCTCCTACAGATCTTCCAAAAAAGCACAGGATCTGCAAAGAGACAGGTAAAACTCACTGCCCCAGGACTTCTGTTAGAATATACAAAGGCTTTAACAGGCACAACTGAGCCACTTTTTAGTTCTGAAACTGCAACAATGGTTGGCTGATGAACCAAAGTTCTTCTTTTCTTCTTTCTATTTCCACAAATGCTTTCTTATGAAGAGGCCAGAATCACTCCACTCCTTTTTCAAATTCCTGGTATCTATTTGCATGACTTGTTATTAGAAAAGGAGAATTAAGACATTCCCATCTTTTCTCAAGTTTCATGTGGCCAGCTTGCACAGCTGTGACCAAAACTTTTAGTAAGAATCAACTGCAGTGACTGCTGCACCTGACCAGCTGGTGGAAGCTGTTCTGGGTAATCTGCTTTCTGCAAAGCGGTAGTGAAGTTATGGTGAATTCCCAAGTACTGTTGTCTCTTGTGAAGGATGTATCTGATAGTTCCTCATGATTCTTTCTTCCCAAGCTGTAGAACCTATCCCTCTCCCCAGGAAGTCTTGCAGGAAGCATGATTCAATTTTCAGATCTTGAACAGTTTAACCCGTAGAGATTAATGGGCACAACCTCAATGAAAATTTTCACATAGAATCACAGAATTGTTTTGGTTGGAAGAGACCTTTCAGATCAAGTCCAACCACTAACCCAGAACTGACAGGTCACCACTAAAACATGTCCCTCAACACCACATCTACGTGACTTTTCAATCCCTCCAGGGATGGGGACTTTACCACTCCACTTCCCTGAGCAGCCTGGTTCAGGCCTTGACAACCCTTTTGGGGAAGACATTTTTCCTAACCAACCTAAACCTTCCCTGGGGCAACTTGAAGCTGTTTCCTCTTATCCAGTTCCTTGCTCCTTAGGAGAAGCGACCAACTGCCACTTCGCTTCAACCTCCTTTCACGGTGTTGTCAAGAGCAAGGTGGTCTCCCCTGAGCCTCCTTTCCTCCAGGCTAAACAACCCCAGTTCCCTCAGCTGCTCCTCACAAGACTTGTGCTCTAGACCCTTCACTAGCTTCATTGCCCTTCTGTGGCCATGCTCCAGCACCTCAATGTCCTTGCAGTGAGGGGCCCAAAACTGCACACAGGATTCAAGGCGTGGGTTCACAGGCTTTAGCCTCTGTCCCAGTTGGCCAATTTAGACAGGAATGTCATGAGCTTGGGTCAGAAGACCTCAAGCATTAGGGCCATCTCTTATGAAGAACCAAACTAACAAAGGACTATAGATAAACTTAAATGCTTCCCATGCCCACCTATAAAATAGTTACACTTAACACCTTCGGTACACAACCCAGAAGGCTTAACATACTGACACTTAACGGTGGCTTAGTTAACAACTCTGCACGTGGAATAGCAGTACCCAAAACTTCACTGGATGGGCTACTCAATCCTTGACTTCAGGCACAGAGGAGACAGTAGAACCATGCTCCTACTTTCTATCTCCTCAGGGAGAAGCTTGGAATGGGCAGAAACTTGACATTACCCTCACCTAGTCACTGCCCATAATACTTGAATCAGTGTAGGAAGCAGGGAGAAAATAATTTGTGGCTGATGGGAAAAATAGTAAGCTACTAGCCCTCAGGAGCAGGGCAAGAGATGAAGAGATGTCTTAGAGGCATAGCTTACAATGACTCCCAAGGCTACTCCCTGAATAATACAATTTACACAACACTTCTTGTTTAGGACCATGCCTAAAGGCAAAAAACAGCCTTTAATGCTAAAAAATGTTGTCATCTCAAGAGAAGAGATGCCATACACATACAAGCTACTGTTACTTTAACTGTCCAGACACGGTACAACTTCCATTTTCACAGAAGCAGCTCAGCTATGTGATATACCTCAAGAACATTCTCTTGGTTGGGATCCAAAATGAACTCAAAGGTCTCATTCCACACGGGATTCACATCGTTATTGAAATGTTTTGTTCTCTTCCTGCAGTCAGGGGCGGATGGGATGAACAGCTCCACGTAAGGATCTGGGGTGTCAACTACAAGAGCAAAACAGATGTTCAAGTTAGGCAAAATCAAGTTTGGGTTGCAATTATCAACACAATTATATGAAACCACAGATCACCTCATGGCCTATGGTGGAAAAATATTCAACTAGATAAATTACATAAGCATAATGACATGAATGATACAATGATATTAATAATCTCTCAAAAGAACAGACAGTTTCTAAGAGGCAAGGAGAAAAGCCTTGAACAAACAGAATGGCACTGGGACTGACTCAGGTTTATTGGAAATAGGTACACTTCTACCAGGTGATAGTGGTAATTATTTTTGAAAGATTTTACTCTTTTCACTCTGTCTAAACTTTATTTCTTTGGCTTGTGTCATAGAAGTAAGAATTCCACAAAAACAGTCTTCAGGGAATGAAGACAAGTAGGCTGGTATACAGGTTTGGATCCTGTTTCACCTTTGCTAGTTTGGCAATCTTAAAAGAAACCCATTAGGCCACTTACGTACTGCTAAACCTAAAAGGTTTAGGTCTCCTAAAGGAGAGCTGTTCAAACCCAAAGCTGCTGCAATCACCAGAGCTTTGGGAGGTCCCCACAGCATCAAGATCTTATTTACACTCTATATTTGACTAACAACTGCACAGAAGTAACTGAAAATACAGAAACATATGCCAGCTATAGCTGATCACAAATTATCAGTGGGAGGAAAATACAAATTGACAAAACTCAGCTGATGTGTCTAAAAACAGCCATTCCTGAGACCAACGAGCAGATTGCTGGCAGCCCTCAACATCCAACATAAAAGTTTCCTGTCCCATGATTTTTCTTTCTGTCTGAAGAGTTTTTTTGCTGTCAAACTGGGCCAATGCTGATAGTTCTTTACAGACTTCTCTAAAACACTGCTCTGATGCTTCACAAGAGAGAACAGAAAGTTACTTCTGTGGTTTTGATGATCATAAAAAGCCACCTGCTCTGCTGCAATAAAGCACACATCTTTCCAGAAACCTCTCTCCAAAGTTTGCCCTCTACTTAAGTGAAACATTTTCAAGCAAATACAATACCCACCACAAACAAGAATCCTTCCTTTAAAGGTCTCTTTTTAGAAGGGATTAAAATCCATTACTAGGCAAAACAAGGTCTGAACATTCCTCCTTGTATATACTTTAAGTCTAAAGATACCTTTTTCAACAAAGCCAAATGTTTTCAGAGACTCTCGGGTTTCAGTAAAGCATTATCAGGGAGACTGGTGGGGCCCAGAATAACATGCTCATTTCAGCTGGGAGATAAGGAAAAAGAGCAGAACAAAAATGTTTGGTATTTTCCTATGGGAATCAATTGTCTTTTGGATAAAAAAAAAAAAAAAAAAAGGCTTTTTGAAACCACTCAGGAGGTTCTGTATGTGCACCAGGGCAGAACAGAATCCAAACTCGAAAGGTTTGGCCTCCCCACAATGGCAGTGGGGAACATCAGCCAGACCTAACCCACCTTCTGAGGCCACCACCAAACAGAAAGATGGCACACTCACACATAAAGCTTACCCACAAAGTAAATCTCTTCACATCTCTATGGAGATGCAGAGTAACATGCCAGGGTCATGCTTTGACTTAAGCATTCTTTTACTCAGGGAAACCTTAGGGACAGCAAACAAATCTTCTCCTAGACTCAGGCTCCCTCAAGTAACAGTTTGTATGTAAATGGACTTTGTGATTCAAAGATCTCCCAGTGTGAGAATTTCCTTGGACTGCTCCAATGCTCCCCAGAGAGTTTTACACTGTGCTCTGTGTCTGCAGGGCTTAGCTAATTGCTACAATTTGGCAGGTCTCGCTGCTACCTGGGTAATTAGCAAGGGGCTATTTAAAGTTGGGGATCAGTATGGAAAGCCTTTAAATAGCAGCCTTTATTAGCTCCTACAGATTTATATCTGATCTTGTCTCTTACATAAAGTCAGGGGAGCAAGAGGATCAACCCTCAAGTGTTTTTTAAATGTTTTCTCCCTGGCAGATGTAACTAGTTGCCAGCTTTTACTGAATACATTAGCTCCCTTGAAATATTACAGAAAATCATGCCAGAAGGAAGGGAATCAAGGCCTCTTCAAACTAAAAAGTAAAGTACCTCCTGAAATCAGAAGTGATAAGACCTCATCAACACTCAAGTCAAGACTCAGACATCTGCTAAGTCTGGGAATCAAGCACTACTTTGGAAATAAACACTACAAACTTGGTCTGCCAAGGGACTGAGCTTCATAGAATCATAGGCAGGGACATCTCCCACTAGACCATATTGCCCAATGCACCATCCAGCCTGGTCTTGAATACCTCCAGTGATGTAACCACAACTTCGCTGGCCAGTGCCTCACCTCCCCCATAGTGAAAGAGCTTCTTCCTAATTTCTAATCTAAATCTGGAATTGGAAGGCTGTAATAAGGTCTCTCCAGACACTGTTACTAACTTCCTACCAGACAGACTCCAAATAAGCGCTGAAACAGGAACCTAACCCAAGGAGCAGAACCATTCTTAGAGAAATCAGTCTTCATAACTCAGTGTTGCCAAGCCACCCCCCCTCACTCCCTGCCTTTATCATCTTTATTAACCTGAGGCACAAAGTTAATCATCTGCCCTTTCATGTTTGAAAGTTTACTTTGTCCTGCTTTCAATTAACAAAATTAAAATCTATTCTTTTATAACTTCCTTCTTCAGATGAAGAGGAAAAATACTGGAAGACTGTGTGCTCTGATTAAGATACTGCTATAAGCTATACTGCATTAATCAAAATATTATCCCTTATTATTGGTTGGGGATCAAAAATTAGTTACCACCGATCTGGCAAGCAACACAGAAATAGTCACTCAATGTCTTTCAAACCATGGAAGTTATCAAACGTCGATAGAACAGACAGGGTGTGTATCCTTTCACATGGATGTATTTATTCCTATTGGCAGTTGATTTGCCAAGTGTGTTTTTCAAAATAACTAATCTGAAAATGTAAGTGAAAAGTAGCTTGGTTTCTGCTGTTACCTGCATTTTCATTTTAAAAGGAACCATCTCTCTGAAGTGGTTTGTGGGTCAAAAGCTGATGTTTCACAGGTGAAATCAAGACAATAGAATTATCCAGAGGAGGCCACAAAGATGATCAGAGGGCTGGAATATCCTACGAGGACAGGATGAGAGAGTTGGGGTTGTTCAGCCTGGAGAAGAGAAGGCTCCACGGAGACCTTCTTGTGGCCTTCCAGTATCTGAAAGGGGCCTACGAGAAAGCTGGGGAGGGACTTTCTCCAAGGGCTTTGTAGTGACAGGATGAGGGGGAATGGGTTCAAACTGGAAGAGGGTAGATTCAGATTAGAAATTAAGAAGTTCTTCACTACAAGGGCAGTGAGACACTGGAACAGGTTGCCCAGGGAAGTTGTGGAAGCTCCATCACTAGAGGTGTTCAAGACCAGGTTGGATGGGGCTTTGACCAATGCGGCCCTGTGGGGCCAGTGGAAGCAACAGAGTTTTATAATTACAAGCTTATAGCTAAATAAATTATATAGGTAATTAACAAAAAATTCATAATAATCCTTTTCTAAGATTTAGAGCATCCACCAACTCACAGAATCGCAGAATCATTTAGATTGGAAAAGACCTTTAAAAATCTCCAGGGGTTGAAGACAGATAACCAATAACAAAAGCAGCGTCAGCATCTCAACAATGTTTTAAACACGTTGGCTTAAGAAAAGGCTGAGAAGTAGGAAGCAAGGATTCAATGACTTTTCCTAATTTGATCTCTCTCCTGGTTAAGTAATTACTACAGACTTCTACTCCTAAATTACATTATGAATCATGAGCTGAGACACACAATGGACTATTTTCACATTACCATAAGAAATGCTTTAAGCAATCTCTCTGTTCAGAAACCCCTACCATTTTCTGCAGTGACTGGAAACCATTTCATCTGATGTTACTAATTTGATGAGATGACTGTCAACAGTCCCCCACATTAATGTAATTACTATTTTAGACATATGATTTATACTTCAGTCATTCCAATTGCAATTATTTCAATAGCATAATATTCACAAAAAATCTATAGAAAACCTGGTCAAATATAAAACACCAAGGATGAAGCCACTACTGTCATACACTAAAATTTATCTCCTTTGTCCCACAAAAGCTGAAAGAAGTACAAACTGAAATATTCTTGAAATATTCCAAAATCTGGTTTGCTACAAAAAAAAAAAAAAAACCTGGACCATAAGAATTTGTATTTTTTTTTCCACATGACTATATCATAAACATTTGTGATATTAAGTGAAACTGTATAAGCATTTATTTCAATTATTATATGCATCACGATTACAGAAGGTAAACCTAGATCCAGATTTTTTTTGGAACCATGATCTCCAGATACCATGTTTATGCAATTACAGGAATATTCCAGCAAGAATGTGCAGACCTTCCTTAAAGAACTATTTTAGTTTCATTCATTGGAATTTTCTGCCTTCTGGTTAACTATTCATAAAATCTTACTAAGTCTCAAATTACCGTCTTAGAATCATAGAATCACAGACCACGTTGGAAGGGACCTTTCAAGGTCATTTAGTCCATCCCTCCTGCAGTCAGCAGGGACATCTGCAACTAGAGCAGGTTGCTCAGAGCCCTGTCCGTCCTCACCTGGAATGGTTCCAGGGATGGGGCATCTACCACCTCTTGGGACAACCAATTCCAGTGTTATCTTTGTCTACTTTCCACCACTTTTTTTGGCTTACTATACTACAGTGTGGCCCAGTTAGCACAAAGTTACAGGCACCTGAGCAGCCTGAGGCTAAGGCTAGCAGCAGGAGCTTCTGGACCACCTCCCTCTCCTCCAAGGGGAAGGAAGGTAAGAAATGCCAGCTGGGCCATAGGCACATTGGGTTCTGGGTGGGGAAGGGAGTTGAGTGAGCTGTGCAGCACATCCTCACTGCTGCCTGGCTGCAGGGCTCCTCTGAATTTTATGGAAGTTTTCAAACCTACCGTTTGCCCAGAGAAACCTGAAGCAGGGGGCATGAA